CCCTTCAGGGGTCTTTTATAGCAGCAAACAGGGTGGAGCCACGGGGAAGGGCATGACATTGTAACAGGAGAAACCTGCGGTCCTGCTTCTCTGAACACAGCTTAGGAGATGCAGCTGTTCTGCCTTTCCCTGTTTTGTGGCCGGGGGCTGTGCCTCTCTCGGCCTATAGGTAAAAGCATTTAACTGCATCTTGCCTTGCTTGTGTCCAGTTCTCATAGGCTTTAATCTGCTCCCCCATCTCCCCGTTTTTATTTTTTTTTTACTGCTCCCAATGAAACCCATTTTCCAATTTAAAGGAGTTGTTTTGAAACCTGTTGTATGCCAGGGCTATTAGGATCCAGTCTCTCAAGCACAAGGTAAAACCTCTATTAGCCACCTGTAGGAGACACTTCACAAGAGAAGTCTCTTGGCCCATGGAGGTAACCCTGCAATGCATGGGTCCCCATACTTGATGGGTCTGAGCATCCTCCTGACACGGAATCAGAATCTTCAGACCGAACTTTACTTTTAAGGTGGGGCTACTGGCTGAGCGCTTCCACTGCCCACAGCATGTTGTTACTGCTTCTCACACTCCTGTATGACTGCTTTGAGCGTGAGTCCCACTTCCCAGCTTTACTTCTTACTTCTGTGCTCTACCACTCTATCGTAAATCTCTACCATACTCTATAGTGTAATTTCTACCTTAGAATTCTCCTACCATATAACACTTAATATTTAATTCTTAAACCTTATGTTCTTAACATAGCTTTTTAAAGCCTTATGTATAGAGTTTCCCAAGTTTTTACAACTGACTGTATTCAATTTACTCTCCTTCTAACTTTGCTTATTTTTCTTTTTCTTGCTTATCTTTCATTTCTCTATTATGTGCAAGCCCCTCAGAGAGTGTCTCCTTATCTTAGGCTTTGATTTCCCCCGTAGTTAATTAATACCCTGCAGTCAAGTCCTTGTTTGGGCGCCATCTCTCGTGGCCCACATGAGCTTGTCCTAGAAACCTGAGGGGTGACAGGAGATGCCAGAAAAGACAAACAGAAGACCAAACATGCGCAAAGCTGGGGCCAGGTAGGCTGAGTGCTTTGATGGAGACACACCAGCAACCTTCACCTCCAGTGAGTTTATTATATACAGTTGCAACACCATATATAATAAAGAGAGGCAATAAATATGGAGAGGTGATTGGGGGAGGGGGCATGACATTGTAATCATCTGGAACAGGAGAAACCTGTGACAGCTTCTCTCTGAAGGTAAACATCTTAGGAAAAACAGTTATGCTGCATCTTGCCCATTTCTGCAGCTGAGGCTGTGCCAATCCAAGCATGCAAATTACTGGGCATAACTAAGCTTGCTCCCTTCTGCAGTTAGGGGCTGTGCCAAACTCAAACACGTAGCTTATTCTATACACCTGTCGGCTCCCAACAATCTCCCTTTTACAGATGAGAAAACTGAGGCTCAAAAAATTAAAGAAATTTGCCAAGAGTGGTATCTCACACCTGTAATCCTAGCTACTCAGGAGGAAGAAATCGGAGGCTCACTAAGGCCAGTCCTGGCAAAAAGTTCTTAAGACCCATCTCAGCCAGTAAAAGCTGGACATGATAGTGCCTGCCTGTCATCATAGCTAGATGGGAAGCATAAATAGGAGGATGTGGTCTAGATAGGCTGGGCATAAACATGAGACCATATTCAAAAAACTAACCAAAGGGAAAAGGTCTTGCAGTGTGGCAAAAGTGGTAGAATGTCTGCCTACCAAGCACAAGGCCGTAAATTCAAATCTCAGTACTGCCAAAAAAAGAAAAACTTGGATAAATTTATATAGCTAATCAGTGGTCAATCTGAGACCAAAATTCAGGCCTGAGACCTCACAGCCCATGTTCTTAATGACTTTGTTGTCTTATCAGGCCTCTCCCCTCTGGAGATTTTAGGAGCAGGTATTTAGATCACCTTTTCTTATCCTGCCTAGTTCATTTTTTCCTGGCCTATGTGAGGCAAAGTGTTTTTAGGCAAAGAAGTGGGCATAGAATCTTTAAAAACAAGGCCATTTGTCTATCCTGTCTTCCACTTGAATGCAGATGTTCCTTTGTGGTGAAGAACCACTTATGGCCATAGGACCTTCAGGACAGTTTAAAATAGGTAGGTACTTCCTGGGCTATGAAGAGAATTACTGTTGAGTCCCAGGAGTTGTCCCAGTAGCTGCCTAGCAAGCATGAGGCCCTGACTTCAAACCCCTGTACCAATGAGAGAGAGAGAGAGGAAGAGAGAATGAGAGAGAGTGAAAGCTCCCAGTTCAACTTTCAGGCCCTTATCAGGACCCATGTTCCTATCTACTGAGGGTCATGGTGGGGGGGAGCATAAGGATTCCTTAGAATTATCTTATAGGTGGTTTTCTGACTTTGAAGCTACCTTGGGGGTGGGTAGTGGGTGGTAATGGTCTAGGAAGCCCACAACCCAAATAGCTGATAAGGAAGGTGGGCTCTAATAGTAGACTATTACTTGATAGCTTGAGAAGTGATCTCAACCTGGGAGGGGTCATTGGAATTGTCAAGAAGCCAGATACCAAGACTGCAAATTATGATAAAGTTTAAGGCCTTTAGGGATGGTTTCTGGGAAATTGCTCTCTTCCCGAGTGCTACCCTTGCCATGTCCCAGGCTAATGTTGATGTTCAAATGGAATATGGCCCTAACATCTTAACCTTCAGAAAACAAAGTCCCGGAGTAGGTAAGTACACTCAAGTCTGAATGGGTTGAAGTTCCAGACCCAAGCTGAAAATGTCTTCTCTTGTGGGTAAAAGAGGAGTAATGATGGCAGGAGACAGAGGCTAGATGAACTGACAGGAAATCTTCCCCTGTTCAAAGCAAGACCTTCCACTATCCCTTGGCAAGAGAATGCCCATGTGATCAAGGTATCCTTATATGAGGCCTGAGGCTCTCTAGATGTAGTCAGAAGGTAGAGCCATCTCCTCACTTACTGCATCTTTTTCTCAGCAGTTGGCTTTAGCATGTATTTGTCTTTTGGCACCTGCCATACCTCAACAAAGGCCAAACCCAAGTTACTGGGTCATAGGGATCACTGATGCTGCTCAGATTTCAGAGCTTAATCAAGTATATATTATTTTGTCTGCCTTCTGGGAGCTAGTACCATCTCTGAGGAATTTTGCATTTTTTCCTGGGCTTGAACCATTCACTTCTGAGTCCAATACCCTGGCTGTAGATGTGGGTGTAACCCACATGCATGAGAGGCACTGTATTACTTTGTGGGTGACTGCCGTTCCTGGGTACCAGTCCTCCTGCCTACAGAGCTGACAAATGGAATTAGAAGCAGAGGAACCAGCCTGTACTAGGGTCTGTGGGACACAGCAGACAAAATGATCTTGTGAATCTGGTTGTCTGGAGGGAAGAAGACAAGCAAGACCTTTCCCTTAGCTGTCCCTTTCCTTCAAAGCCAAACTCAGAGACTCTCCCATAGAGACACAGCCTTCTCTATGTCCTCCAAACTTTCTCTTACCTCAGGAATTCTTGGCAGGCAGGAGTGTTTGCCATCACGTGAAGTCTGTCCTGGCACAAGATTGGACAGGTGAAGGAACAATACAGTGGTACCTTGATTGAGTCGATCCTCAATCCCTCTGACCTGTCCTGACTCTGGCTTATCCCTTTCATCTCCTACCTTCTGCCATAGCCAAGTTCCTCATCACTCACTTCCCCCCAAGTTCCTTACTGAACAGGAAGTGTTCCATGATGCCATAGCCTTCCTGCAGGTCAGGTAACTTCAGATTACCAGAATGAAGGTGAACCATCAATTCCCTTTCCTGGCTGTTCCTTTCTGCCCATCTCACTTCTGTTAATTTGATGTAGTCACTCCTGTATATGGTAGTCCTTCCATTTTAACCAGATATCCAAGGTTCCCAGAGTTGGTAAAAGTTGGAATTCACTCCCCATAGAAAGTCAGAGAGGCCGGGTTGGTGTCCCCATAGAAAGTCAGAGGGGCCAGGTGCCAGTGTCTCACATCTGTAATCCTAGATACTTGGGAGGCAGAGATCAGGAGGATTGCTGTTTGAAGCCAGCCCAGGCAAATAGTTTGTGAGACCCTATCTCAAAAAAATTCTTCACAAAAAGGGCTGGTAGAGTGACTCAAGGCATAGGCCCTGAGTTCAAACCCCAGCACTAAACACACACACACACACACACACACACACACACACACACACACCACACACACACACACACACACAGGCCAGGTGTGGTGTTATAGGCCTGTAATCCCAGCATGCAGGAGACTGAGGCAAAGGATTGCAAATTTAAGATCAGGCTGGGCTACATTCTGAGTTCAGGGCCAGCGTTGGCTACATAGCAAGACCCTGTCTTGGAAGGAAGGAAGGGAGGGAGGGAGGATCAGCTTGAGCTACATTCTGAGTTCAAGGCCAGCCTGCGCTACATAGCAAGACCCTGTCTCGAAAGGAAGGAAGGGAGGGAGGGAAGAAGGAAAGGAAGTCAGAGAGGCATTGTTGAGAAGACTCCTCATCAGAACAAAAGTTCAGTTTATTCTTGAAAGTGTCCTCTGTACCCCAAGGTTTGAATGCCCAAAAGTTCTATCCAAGCTACAGATAGGAAGACTGAGTTGGCATTGAGAGATGAAAACAAGTGGCAGATGGTGCTGAGGAACATCCCAGGACTGAAGAAATGTGGTTCTCAGGGAGAAGTAATGAGACATTGGCAGAGTCTTATTCAATATGATAGCCTAGCCAGAGGAAGCTTCAGGATAGCACTAAGAACACATTTATGGTATCAGGAACACTAGTAACCTCAGATGCTGTTCTGTCACTTCTTATGCTCTTTTACCATAGCCAGAATAAATAGCCTTGGTGACCAGGCTGGGCTGGTCAGGAAAGGTAGAGAATGAAGAGATTAGAAAGTGGTCCTAGAAACTAGAGGAATTGATCCCTACCACCCTGCCTGCTTGTTTTACACAAGCATCCTGGCTGAAACCCTGCCTGACCCTTGACTTCCCCCAGGTGCTAGAGGTGGTACGAGCCAACTATGATACTCTCACACTGAAGCTGCAGGATGGCCTGGACCAATATGAGCGCTATTCTGAGCAGCACAAAGAAGCTGCCTTCTTCAAAGAGTTGGTGAGTGTCCTGGCCTCATCTCTCCCTATATCTCTTGGGTGCCCAGTCCCAGCCATTGGGTTCTACTGTGCAGGTGAGCATCTAGGGTACAACTTCAGTTTGTCAAAGTATGGTAAAACAAGACTAGAGGGGTCTGCTGGGATTGGGTATGCAATTTCTCTTCCAAAGCAGTTCAGGATAGGGCAGTGAGAGAAGAAAGTATTCCTGAGATGGCATTGCCCGCCCTTCCCACAACCATGGAGATAGTACTACACAGTTTCAACTGGGCCGGGGGCTTGAGATACATTCCCAGTGGCAGCTGTAGCTCCTTGCTTCCTCCTTATCCTGTTCTTAGAGCAACTGGGAGTAATGGGTTCTTTGTATTCAACCACTTCTTCCTAACTGTGTGTCTTCTAATACAATTCTCCAGCCTTCACTCCCTATGCCCACTCCCACTTTGTAATCACTTAGCTTCCCTCAGTCCCTACGTTTGGCCTCCCAGAGCCAGCGAGCATTTTGCGCTGCCTCCTACTCCACCTCCCAGTCACAGCATCTCCACAGAACTAGCCTCTCCCTATTGATTGTCCTTCTCTGCCTTGTGCTTAGAGCTACTCACAGGAAAAACTCAGCCTCCCTATAGTTGTGCCACCCTGTCTGCTTGGTAGACATAAAAATCCTGGCTGGAGACTGAGACCAGAACACACAGGTTCTATAGCCACTTCCCATGTCAGACCTCCATCTTCTGAGCAGAACTTCTATTAGCCTTGCCAAGTCTGTGGTGAAGGAGCTGGATTTTAGATTGTCTTGTGCTAAATTAGCACAAGACCCTGATGTGACACTCCTCAGGATTTTTCTGAGGATAGGGAAGTCATTAGTGTAGAGATAGCATGTAGAGTATTTTTATGGGATGGTCAGTGAGTGTCTATATCAATGGGGCCAGGGGTTACTGGGAACTAGCAATTAATGAAGAGTAAGTTATTGGGAGATAAAGAGGATTGCGAAGGAGAATTTAGAGGAGCAAGGTCTTGATGCTCTTTGGCACTGCCTCTGCCTTAGTTCTCCGTCTCTGGCACAGGGGAGCAATGTGGGTCTGGTCCAATTGGGAGCTAGTGAGCTTGACTTACCTGCTGTTTTGTCATGCTGCCCTTTCCTCTTCTTCATGCCTCATAACTTCATTAACTTTCCTGTAGCAAAGCAGAAACTGAAGGAAAGCTCTGTGGTCTGTAGGGCCCAGAACAGACATACATTCTTTTTCTCCTCCCTCTCTCTTTTGTTTCTCCTAAAATGTACACACCTGTTTTCCATGGGCAAACCTCCTTGCAGAGTCTGCTAGATTCCTCATTGAACCTCTCAGAGTTGGGAGTTGGGAGTTTGGACTTCTGAGCCCTTCTCCATAGCGCTTTGTCTGTGAATACAGGCCTGTGCCTTGTGCCTTGGACACTGCCCTCTGGTGTTTGTAACCAACTGTCTCCTTTTTTTCTCTCTGCCTGTGCCCTCCCACTTTCCCTCATCCTTTCCCAGGTTCGATCTATTAGCACCAACGTCCGGAGAAACCTGGCTTTCCACACACTCAGCCAAGAGGTCCTGCTAAAGGAGTTCTCCACTATCTCCTGAGGCCACACCCACATGAGAGCCACTGACTGCCCTTACCCATGAGGCTACTGGGCTGGAAGGGGAGTAAGAGGAGTAGGGGCTGCCTCCAAAGTTGGAGAGAAGCATAGACACGAAGTCTTTTGGTGAAGGCCACACTTCAACTTCAGTGGAACTTAGACAGTGAGGACAAGCCAAGGATGTCCTCTTATGGGGAGGAATGGGTGGGCAAAGGGAGAGGTGTCCAACAATGTGGGACATCCAGGTTGTACTCCTTAGATACCCCCTCATATCTCCAATTGAGATTAGAACTTGTAGTGACTTAATTTTCAGAAGCTGATAGTGCAAGCCTCAGGTGACCCCAACACCCTGAAGGCCAATGACCTTCCTTGGCTTTTGAAAACAGATAAACTCTCATATATAGCTGGAGCCACATCCTGCTTCCTTTGGGCCTGAGGCTGAGCTAGGTTTGAATCTGTGTCTCCTACCCCTGTTGGCACTCTGTCCAGTCATTAGCACCCTTACTTGAGGCTTAGTGTAGGGTTAGGAATGGGGCACCTTTTCTTCTAAATTCGATTGGAGTCTGCACAATAAGTGCTCTGCTGTCCGACCACCATTTTCTGGATTTTAGTTTTGGTCCCAGGAGTAACCATTAGCTTTCCCCTGCCTTCCAGCCCATTGACTCATCAGCACAATAGGCTAACAACTTTAGCCTTTCATTTTTAGTTTATTTTAAACTGTCTTAAAGGTGTGTGTGAAATAAACATTGACAGGTTTTCTGGAGCCCTCAAGGTGCCTACTTGGCTGGTTCCTTTCCAGCAGCCTCCCCACCTCCCAAGCCACCCCCTCCACTGGAAGCCTCTGCTGAGCTCCCCTCTACTTGTTCCACCCCCTCACCCTGCTGTTGTTTACATCCAGCCTGCCTGAGAATTTCCTCTGGAGAGGAGTCTGTTCCTGCTGTGGTGTGGTGCCTGGGAAGGATAGAACCTACCAGGGGCAAGGAGGCCTCCATCTTATATACCCATATTCTGGATGAGACCTCTGGCAAATCTTCTGATGTTTGGGAAGATGGCTGTGGTTCTTCCTTTGGATAGCTTCTAGGGGACCACTGTAGGCTTTCCCTTCCCTACAGCTGCCCCCAAAATAGCTGCTGGTCTAAGATCTTCCCTTTCTAAAACATTTTCTAAAGCCCCTACAATGGCCTGGATCAAGCAACACAGAAAGAATCAAAGCACGTGCAAGAATTTAATAGTGAAAGCAGGTCTGGGACCTTCCCAGCTGGTATTTATTTAGCCTGATACTTGCCTTCCCTGGGAACCAGAGTTCTGATTGTACAAAAATGTGCTAGTTTTAGAGAATCCACCAACAGACTGCTATGCATAGATACAGATTCTTAAGAGATCACAGGCTGGGTCATCTCTGATCAATGATCACTAGATGGATAGCTCAGCCTGAGGCTTTAGTGTTTCCCACCATGGTGATAAAACCTCAGAGCAGTTGGATCTGGAGCTCAAGGCAAATTGAAATTATTAAAAATTGATTTGTGTGATACCGTCTTTTAGTGTCTTTTTTTTTTTTTTTTCTTTACTGCCCAGCCTTATTTTTCAAAGAGTTAAGGTAATCTTACAGGTGCAGGTCCCATCTGGCTAGGGGGTCCCCCAGCTTGCCCTTAAAGATGCTTTTCTGCCAGATGCCAGTGGCTCATGCCTGTAATCCTAGCTACTTGGGAGGCTGAGTTTGGAAGCATCATGGTTCAAGCCTAGCCCAGGCAAATAGTTCATATGACTCTAAAATAACCAGAGCAAAATGGACTAAAGGTGTGGCTTAAGCAGTAGAATACCTGCTTCGCAAGTACAAAGCACTGGTTTAAAACCTCAGTCCCATCAGTAATCAGTCAGTAAACAAATAAATGAACTAAAGATGCTTTTCGTCTGGGTCTCTTGGAGGCCAGTTGGGTTCAGAACTTGTAGCCTTTTTTGCTCTCATGGTGGAAAAGGAAAGAAAAGAGACTTCTTATCTCCAAACTTAAAAGTGTTAAATCAGTCAGTTCCTTGGGTTTTTGGATTCCTGCCAGTCTTTTCTATAACGTGGACCAGGGCAGGTCTAGGACATGGGGCACTAAACAGAGGATTCCTTGCTGTCCATTGTAAAGGCCTGTTTCTTGGCTAATTTCTTCATATACCCCTATTCCAAGAATTCCAAATAAGAGTCCCCATCCTCTCCCAGAAAACCTCCAAATGATCTGCTCAGTGGCTGTGACTATGGCTCAGTGGTAGAGTACTTGCCTAGCATATGCAAAAGAAGCTGCCCATGCTCTGTCCATGCCCAGCCTCTCTGCCAGGTCTATGGAGGCTTCTACAGAGCCAGGAGCATAACATTTCTTCCAAAACAATTCTTCCTACAGCTGCCTGTCCCTTCTTAAGCCAGAATTCCTACAACTCCTGCTGAGTTGACTGAATCAAGTGGTTAGAAATTAAACCTGATTGAAGAGACTAAAGGTACTGAAGCCACTTTAGCTGGAGCTTTTGATCAGCAGGCAGTCATGGAAACCCACCCAACACCATCCATCCCCCCACACCCCCCGCCATCCTATGGCAGTTTTGGGGGCTTTTGGTCTATGATCCCAGAAAGCATTGAGGGGAAAGTTGGACACAGGAAGCCTAGTTCTGTGCGCCCCCTACCTTCAGAAAAGGAGCTCATCTTAAAGGAAGGGGTATTTCTTTCCCACTCTGTATCCTTACCTGAATCCCTAAATCCTCAGTAGCTCCCCAAATCTGCTGCAAAATAAGAATCTAGGATAAGGCAGGTGACAAAAGAGAAAAAGGCTGAGAAGTTGAAGGAAAAGAGCAAGAAAATCCTGGAGAGACTGACCTGACTCACAATGTTCCTTTACCTTCCCAGTTGTCCAAGGGGGGGGTCATTACATCAAGGGAAAGGCACCTTGGAACTGAATGGGGCCCAGAGAGAGGGCCCTGGAGAGTTGGGGTCCTGCTGGAACTTGGAAGAAGAAAAGGTATCATCCAGCGTCTGATACAGCAATGAGCCTGTAATCAGAGGTTCGGCTGACTTTTTCTCTGCATCCCCATCGCGCTTGAAAGGGTGGGGACGGCTGAGACCACGGCAGGAAGAACAACAGAAAAAATAGGATCTGACACAGGAGACAGACCCAACAGGGGACTCAAGCATACTCCAGGCTCTGGCTTGGCCAGACTGTACTGATGTTGGGGGAAGGGGTGCCTGAGAATGGGGGAGGAGGGGTTTCCTCATAGTGGGGCCTTTTCTGGCCTTGCTGTTTCCCCCACCCGAGAGATCGGTGGCTTCAGGTTTGGATCGTGGAGTTGCTTGAGAGCTAGTCTCCCTCCCGGCACTTTCCAGTTCACCCCTTCACCGGGTGCCTCCTCCAAACAGCAGAGGGTGGGGGGCGGGGGTAGGGGGAACCAATCCCGGCAGCGCCAAAGGGGGGAGGCGGCGGTGACAGCCGGGGGAGGGGGTGGGAGGAGAGGCGGTTGGGCTCCAGCTCCGCTCCTCTCTGCTTTGCCTCCGGCTCTGCGCTCACTTGCTGCCTAAGCCTCCTGCTCCTGCCCCGGGACCCCCAGGTGGACCCTAGACCCGGCCTTTCCCCAAACAGCCCCAGCCCCTACTCTCCCGACCCCCAGCCCCAGCAGCGCGTTACGCCGCCAGGGGGCGCCGTGTGAACGCCCTATTCTGGCCACCCGGCGCCCCCTCCCACGGCCCAGGCGGGAGTGGGGCGCCGGGGGCCATGCGGGGCCAGGGCCGCAAGGAGAGTTTGTCCGATTCCCGAGATCTGGACGGCTCCTACGACCAGCTTACGGGTGAGTCCGTGACACTCGGGTCACGGGAGGGTGGGTGGATTCCATACATCTAGACCCTTCCTCCTCTCTGACCTCTGGCCTGGCCAGTACCCGCACTTTGCCCCCTTCCCAGGTACCCTTCCCAACTGGGAGGCAGGACCCTGGAGTTCAAAGCCTTGGGTCTCAAGGGGGTGGGGAGCAGGTGGGGCAGGTGTGGCGAGGTAGCAGGTGTGGGTGTGTGTGACACAGGGTTGGGAGTGTGTCTAGAGTGGGAGGTGTTACGTGCTTTGAGTGCCGTTATTATGTGTGTCCATATATATATATATATATATATATGAATATATTTTATATATATGCATATGAATATATTTTTTACATATATGAATATATTTGTATATATGTACACGAATATATTATATATATATGAATATATTTTATATATATATATACACACACATACACATCTCCCACAGCTGGTTGCCATGTGCTCTGGGCTTGGTGACAGCTAGGGTGACTGTGATTGTGTGTGGTGGTGTGATTGTATGATCTTGTCAAATGTTTTGAGTGAGGCTGTGTAGACCCTGGTTGTAACTGATGTTGTTTTAACCATGTGTCTTTGTTATATGTTCAACTATGTGCTTTGAGTGTGTGATTCTGTGTGAAGTGGCATGTGACCATCAGACTGTATCAGGACTTCCCATTACGTTGTGTGTCTATATGACTTATGATCATGAGCCTCTTGGACAAGCATTTGTTAAAGTGGGTTATGCTGTATTCTGTGACTGTGAAACTATGTGGGTTCTAATAACATTTGGTGCTGATTGCGTACTTTCATGTGTGATGCCTGCAGTGGGACTAAGTGTTCATGACATTTCTTATCCTTGCTGCCTCTCTGGCTTCCTGGTGCAGATGGGAGTCTTTAATGCACCCCACTACTTCCCCAAGTTTTCTGCAAGTAGCCCAGGTGGACCCAAGGAGGTACTTTAGTGTTCAGCTGCCCACACTGGCTCAGCACCCTATGGTTCTAGTACCTGACCTCTGCAGGGAGACTTTGGTTAGTGCTGGGTCACCCCACCCTAGAAAAAAAAATTACTTGGCTCATTCTTCCAACCAAAGCTCCTTTATTCCCCAGCAACCCTTTCAGAACTTCACCCAAACCCCAGAGAAAACAAATCCTCCTCTTACCTTCCTGCAGAGCTAGAGACAGAATCTCTAGGCCTGGAAAGTGCAATGAGCCTCTATTTATTTTCCCCCCAACCACTTTGCTGCCTAGGCATCCTCTTTCCCACTTTGAGAAGGTATGTGAGAACAATACATCTGTGCATTCACGTATTCCTGGGTTTCGTAGGCAGATCCATGTGTTTGTGAAGGTGACTGTGCCACCTTGTGTACATTTCCATATACATGTGTGCTTTGTGTCTCATTCTTCAACCTCCTTAAAAACTCCAAGAGTGGGAGGAGGGAAGCTGTGTGTCCTGAGGCTGAAACAAAGCTGGAAGGGTGGAAGGCAGCCATGATCCTTGTCCTTCCTGAATGGAATGCCTTTAAGACCTGGAGATAGAGGAGGGAATTAGGATGTGGTGCCTTAAGAGTAAATGTCTCTTCCCCACTCAGTGACCTGGGGAGGCCAAAGGGGAGAACATTCACTCAGGCAGTCACCAGATTCATGACAGTGTAGATGTGCCCCAGATGTGGTTCAGAGCTGGATGAACTCCAAGGATCTGCTATCCAGTTCTACTACGAACTCAGTTCCTACTAACAGCTCAGGATCCTTGAGAGCAGTAAGGGCCCAGAGGCCCTCATAAACACCACATTCCCCATTAGTCAGTGTTTGCTTCCTGCCTTTTTTTTTTTTTCCTACTGGTACTGGGGCTTGAACTGAGGGCCTTGGACAAGTGTTCTGTGAGCCATGCCCCCTGTCCTCTTCTTGCCTTGCTTCTCCCCTTTAGTGAAATCATCCCCTCCCTACTAGGCTATTTGAATGAAGAGATTGGGTGGAGGTGGGGAATCACTTGTATTTGAAGGTGTGCTGCCTCAGGTCAGTCAGGAACAGAAGTGTACCAATTATGTGACTTTTGCTCTCTTGGCCTCTCTTTTCTTATCTGTAAAATGGAGAACACTACTTTCTGCCTGTTTTACCTCCCTGCTGACAGTCTATTAAGAAGATCAAATGTTGACAAGCATCTAAATCACGGTCCAAATCATCAATATCCTCACTGTAGGTAGCTCCACACATGAGAAGTAGAAATAGGACTACTGGGATCTCTCCTCTCAAAACTATCCAATAACGGGAGGCAAATGGTGTAGTACCACACCGTTAACGCAGACTGACCCTTGCTGAGCTCTACCAGTTGCCAGAGTTGAAGACTGAAGGGGAGTTGTTGTCCGCGGTGCTGAAGCGCGTTCCAGGCCTCCCCTTCCCTTCCCTGTGCAGGCGGGATTCCTGGGATCAGATACGAGGGTAGTCTTCTGCTCCGTCATCCCAGCCCATTAGAGAGGCCCTAAAGTTATGTCTGAGGGTATCTTGGATGCTGCCCTACAGCCTTCCCTCCCCAATCCCATCCCAAGCTCAAAACCGAGCTGGGGAAGACTTTAAGCAGGGAGTGGGAAAGTTCTCAACCCTACCCCCTAGTCCATCTAACTCTTCGGGTCTTCCCAGCCCAACGGGGCCGCTTATTAGGGCAGCACAGTAGGAAAAGGTTGAAATC